TGTAAGTCTGTGTACAGTTTTTTTTTCTTTGTTCACATTTGAATTAGTGTTCTTTTCCTCTGTTGCTAGAAGTTTATCTGTGTCTTCTGAACATTTCCCCTGTGGGGGTTGCAGTCACTTCATTACAGAAAATGCATTATTATGTTGCTAAGTGGAGAAAGCATGAGATACAGTGAGAGATTTCCTCCCGGAGACAGTTGCTCCTAATGACTCAAATGAAATATGAAAGCATTGTTTGTGCCGATGTGTGTCTGTGTGTAAGCTTGTGTGCGTGTGAGTTAACGCAGTCACCCCTGCATGATTTTTTGATGGATACGTTTCCTCCCTCCTCTTGCTATGTGTTGGTTGTCACAGTGATGACGAGTGGCTTCCTCCTGCTTTTCTGGAAGGTGGTGGGATGCGACAGTCTTCCAGGCAGCTGCCAATGTAAAGCTTGCTATCCCCCCCAGCTATCCAGCCTTCCCTTTCAAATGATTAACTCCATACTTATTGTCCATTTCTCCACAGAAACTGATGGTAAAGTCTTAAATCACCAATACGACTTGCCTCTGTGTCATGCTTCAGAAATAACAACAATATTGAGAACAGAACTGCAAGAGATATTACAACAACATGGAACAAAACAATAAGGGTACAGACAGCCGTCAACTCCAGATGGGCACTTCCTGTGCCAGCCAGGAAATGGCATCGGGCTCCCTTGCCATCATTTTTCATTTTAGCAAAGAAGAGAGATGATCATCTCTTTATCTCAGGCACATCCATTTCCCAAACGCAAGAGCTGTAAATTATTTTCTTTTTGTTCTCAGCGAGGATCCTATTTTGTAAGAAATTGCAAATTTGATAGCAGCCTTACTTGTACTTTTTATGGTCTCTGAGTGGTACTGAGATGATTTCACTGGGGCTCATCATGCAAAACTAAAATAGCCTGAGAACCCATGAACAAACAGACAATTTACACGTAGGCTTAAAGCTTTTTGAACATCTTTACAGATATAAAACTGATTGAGCAACAAATGAAACACTACATGAGCAGTCCACTGATTCAGATGTTTGAAAAAACATATTAATCCGTTGACTGAGTTCACCAGTAAATATGTGATAAAAAACTAATAGGGTTTGATAAGAGTAATACATTTTCAAAGTTTGATGGGTTCCACAATTCATATGTAACCAAGGTCTTCAGATGCTTTGATATAATCTATTTGTTTTACAGATGGCATGATTAAAAATCTTAATAGTCAAAGAGTTTCTGGCTAGAGATGAAAGATAAGGCATTTTGGGATGTATCATGGACAGTTTTGCAGCTTGGAAGATGTTTAGTCCAGCATGCCAGAATATCTTCCTCTTTTTTTGGTTCAACTGCTTGGTACAAGGTCCAGTGAATCTGCATTAGTAATCAACTGAAATACTCTTTACAAGAGATTTCTGATTCTTTCCCTTA